GGGATAATAAGAGAACGCAAGAAAAAGCCAACCCGGGCAAATTGTAATGGTTGTGATTATTAAAGACATCAACTGTAACAGTCGAAGATAGGACAAAGGTTGTGAACCTATCTTCAATCCCTCTTGATTATGAAACGACAAATCTCTTAAAGAAAGGGTTACATTTCTCACCAGGTAATGACGGAATGTTCTCAGCGATATCCTGGTGGAAGTTGTCAACATAAAGAATAAATTTCCAGAAGATACAAGGCGGGAGATGCCCTAACCATGTTGCGAACACAAGGTCAAACAACCTCTAAAATCCACATTCGTCTATGAAGTAAGAGAGCTACAGGAATGCCCATTCTCCCGAAGACAGATACGATTTCACACACGAGAATTAGCACATGAATACTACAACGGTTCAACGGATGCGTGATTTGATGGGCAGCCCGCTCAGAGAGAAAAAATTTCAATTTGGTCTCAGATTATATCAGGAAAGTGCAGAATGGGAGCTTGACGCGCTAACACTCGACCACATTGCCACGAGTGCCCTTGGGTCCGAGGGCAGATGTGAATTTCAAGGAAGGCCAGGCCTTTTGCTATTTCACACTCTTTGGTGGGGTTGTCGATGAAGCAAACGTATATTTGCTATAACAATCGACTACGTAAATTATTTTTCGTATTTAAATGGAGTTTCGATACTACCAGTATATCAGTAGTATGAGATGTATTCACCCAATTTCGTTTAAGCTGATGAAGGACTGATTTACTAGTATTCTCGAAACTCTACTTAAATACGAAAAAAATATATATCTTTCGACTACCATCACGCACTATCAGCAGTATGACATAGAAGAGAACAATGACAGCATTCTTCTTCTTCTCCTCTACTGCCTAAACATCCATTATCACATTCTCATTTACCTACTTCTACCAACCCTATACTATCTCTTCTTACTCCATCCTCATCCTCCCTCCCCAGTTTTCCCTTCAACCCCTCATCATCCTATTCACCACATTTTACATCTCATCCTCCTTCTCCTTAGACCCTCTATTTTTATCTCTCTTCTCCTCTTCCTGCTTCACTTTTTCAGTCTCTTGGTCAACGCTTTCCTCATCCCCACTGTCATCATAATCATAATAATAATAATAATAATCATCATCATCATCATTGGCGCCATAGATATTAGCAACTTCTTCACCATCAGCATCAGCATCACCAGAACAATTACTAGCTCTATTACTACCAAACTTTGCAACAATTTTACTAAAATTTATTATTCCATTATTCATAGTTATAACAACCGCCAGCAACCTATTCTACGTATTAATGTCTAGCTTTTTCCCCACCACCATCATCATAAGCCTGGTACTCGCGGATATATTGTGTCGACGATTATCCTTTTTAACGCGTCATCTGCTTGGTAGAGCTACAACTCATGTGATTGTCGAAACGAATCGGTTGAACGACCTGGCGCATGGAATGGAGACCGACGAAATGTCCTTCGAAAAGCGGGAAGGCTGTTGTGTGGAAAAGGAAGATGAGTAGAAAACAGACCTTTATTTTGATCAAAAGTGGCCGACTTTTGCCCAAATGAGTCGCAGACGCGGCAACAGGCACGAGGTACCGGCACAACTGCGCCCGTGTTGTCGGGCGGTCGGCTTACAAAGAGAGCCAGACGTGTCAAGAGGTGGCCAGCGGGTCTTCTATTCCGAGTCAGTAGGTTTCCGCACGAATAGAAGATCCTGACTAATGCCTGCATCCAGCCGAGGTGGCATAAACTCATGAAAGGCTGAAAATGTGATTTCTCCACAGTCAAATGACTAGTCTCCGAGATACTATTTAAAGCAACTTAGCAACGCCTCTCAAAAGGCATTCACACGTATTCCATAGCACACTTTGTCGTTGTTATGTCGGCGGCCGAAAAGTCCACATGAGGCTGAGAGGTGCGACGCCGCATCTGTTGGAATGCATCTTCTCATTTGCTCTCTTCGGGCATCAATCCGGCCACGGGTTGCAGCAGAGTGACACAACAGCAGCTGTCTTGTGCACAAATGAGGCCCAGCAACCCTCGATTAATTGCCCGAAACGACTAAGCTATAGCAACCACTTTGCTCCGCAATTGATTTCTCCTCAAGTCTGCGAAAGCAACATGGCCTCGTCGTCGTCGTCATGGTCGTCGTCGTCTATTAGAAAACCGGCTCAGCCTCATGTGTAATGGAGCCTTCTCCTGTGCACGTGTGGGTGTGATGTGTCTGTGTGCATGTGTGTGAATTGGCCGAGAGTGTGCAAAACTGAGCCCATTCTGCGTCAGTTAAGGGCGCACCACTTTCGGAAGAAAGCAGTCGTCCTGACGACGTCCGGTTGTTGAGAGCACTGCCAATGTGCGCATGAGAGGCCTGCGTTTAGGCTCATGATAGCTACTAAAATTAGCCTCATAGCAATCCGGACACATACAGACTCAGATGGACTGAACCGTATTTCAGAGGCTCGCGGTTGCCAAAGGCCTAATGGCTAGAAGCTCCACAAGTGGTCAAGCTAAAGGGTCGCACACCATACCTTGAAAGGAAAGCAATAAATTGCCTAAATGTCATGGTATGGTGCATACAAGTGGTGGTAAACTGTGGGGATTTGCAAGGAGGTGATGCAAAACTGACTTTCGATGGAGTCTGTCAGAGATTAAGGTTAGCCTACTTTTCATTTTAGCGTAAAATAAAGATGAAAGTAAAGCATAAATTGGCCTCATCTGATGTCGTTGAGACTATGGAATTGTGCGAAGAAGATCGCAATTCGCATGT